TAGACTAACACTGTCCATAGACTAACACTGCCGATAGACTAACACTGTCCATAGACTAACATTACCCATAGACTAACATTGTCCATAGACAAACACTGCCCATAGACTAACACTGCCCATAGACTAACACTGCCCGTAGACTAACACTGCCCGTAGACTAACACTGCCCGTAGACTAACACTGCCCATAGACTAACACTGCCCATAGACTAACAATGCCCATCGACTCAACACTGCCCATCGACTCAACACTGCCCATAGACTAACACTGCCAATAGATTATCATTGCCCATAGACTAACATTGTCCATAGACTCAACACTGCCCATCGACTCAACACTGCCCATAGACTAACATTGCCCATAAACTAACACTGCCCATAGACTAACACTGCCCATAGACTAACATTGCCCATAGAATAACATTGCCCATAGACTAACACTGCCCATAGACTAACACTGCCCATAGACTATCATTGCCCATAGACTAACATTGCCTATAAACAAGCACTGCCCATAGATTAACATTGCCCATAGACTAATATTGCCCATAGACTAACATTGTCCATAGACTAACATTGCCCATAGACTAACATTGCCCATAGACTAACATTGCCCATAGACTAGCATTGCCCATAGACTAACATTGCCGATATCTCTCCCCACGAGACGAAGGGAATGATGGAGATGGAGGCGAATGGGAGCGACAAGATGGCCGGTGAGGTCGATAACAGCCCAGCAAACTGCAAGAAACGGAGCTAGCGGATATCCAGCAACACTGTAGCACACTACCACACTACCTACACCACTACACTACCTACTACACTACACTGCCTACACCACTACACTACACTACCTACTACACTACACTACCTACACCACTACACTACCTACTACACTACACACACCATTACACCACCTACTACACTACACTACCTACACCACTACACTACCCACTACACTACACTATCTACTACACTACACTGCCTACACCACTACACTACACACACCACTACCTACTACACTACACTACCTACACCACTACACTACCTACTACACTACACACACCATTACACCACCTACTACACTACACTACCTACACCACTATACTACCTACTACATATACACTGCCTACACCACTACACTACCTACACCACTACACTACACTGCCTACACCACTACACTACACTACCTACTACACTACACTGCCTACACCACCTACTACACTACACACACCACCACACTACCTACACCACTACACTACACTACCTACTACATTACTCTACCTACTATACTACACTACCTACACCACTACACTACCTACTATACCACACTGCCTAAACCACTACACTACCAACTACACTACACTACCTACACCACTACACTACCTACACCACTACACACACCACCACATTACCTACACCACTACACTGCCTACACCACACTGCCTCCACCACTACACTACCTACACCACTACACTGCCTACACCACTACACTACCTACTACACTACACTGCCTACACCACACTGCCTCCACCACTACACTACCTACTACACTACACTGCCTCCACCGCTACACTACCTACTACACCACTACACTACCTACTACACTACACTGCCTACACCACTACACTACCTATCGTCTTCCGTCTGCGCTTGCATCTCGTCGCTCTCTCATCGATGCTGCATCTTGTCGCTTGCTGGCACGATACGCCGTGAGACAGACACAGAGAGACGTGGGGAGAGACAGAGAGAGGCACAGAGACAGAGAGACATTGGTACAAACACAGACAGAGAGAGACAGACACAGGCAGGAAGATAGACAGAGAGACGTGGGGACAAGACAAACACAGACAGACGAAGACACAGAGACAGATAGAGAGACATTGAGAGACACAGAGACAGAGACACAAACACAGAGACAGAGAGATACATTGAAAGAGACAGAGAGAGACACAGAGACAGAGGAAGACACAAACACAGAGACAGACGGATAGGCAGACAGACAGACAGACAATGAGGGACGCAGATACGAACACAGAGACGTTCATCAGACAGGAGAAAGAAGACGCTCCTCCAAACCCGGGGATGGGTGATGACTGGACGAAGATAAAGCGTGACAGTGCTGATGCTGCTGGTGATGATGGTGGTGGTGATGATGATGATGGTGAGATCACACAAACACACACACCAGGCAGCGACCCAGTTCGTCTATCGACTGTGGCGTCGCTATCATTGGCGAGCATCGAATCGCTTGCCAAAGCGCCAACGCACCCTCTACGCCTGTGTGTGCTGTACGTTTCACAAATATGTATCGCGGATAATCGGTTATCCGGCAACGCGCGGTTATCCGTGGTTATCCGGCAACGCGTGGTTATCGGGCTGATAGTGATAGGCTCTGCCGGCCTCGGCCCGCAGCCAATGGGGAGTCGAGCCAGGGCCGTAGCCCTGGAGCTGGACAGTATCTTCGAGAAAGTTCCAGGGGTGTGGCTGAGGATTGGCTGCGTGGTATCACGTGGGCCAGGGATTATAAGGGGTGGAGTAAGACAGCACGTGGTCAGTGTGCGAAGGAACGAAGGGGGAAGCCACGTGGCTGGTGCCGTGGTCCCGCTCCAGCCACGTGGCGGGCCGCGGCAGTCTCTCTCACGCTGTCAGCCAGCAGCGTGAGGGAGCGGAGAGGGAGGCGAGAGAACCGTGTGTGTGAAAGGGGTGGAAGGCTGTGAACGGGAAAAACGAATAAACAACTCTGAAGTCAAGACGTCGTCTGAACGGCGGCCGATCCGGCAAAAAAACGCTCCAAAAGGCCGTAACCCAGTCCGGCGATCGGCACCGCGTGTAGCGTGACAACTACAACAACGAGAAAGTATCCACGCTTGATTCCAATGTCAAATATATACGCGTCCCTGTCAACCCCTTATCAGTGCCCTGCCTTATTACAGACCAGTTCAGACCTTTTTGGTCACCCCGTGCCCCTTATGAATCTCAACGTTTATCCTACAAAGTCCCATCACAAGGGAGAAAAAATAGACAAAAAAAATTGCCTGTATCGAAACGGCCGTACGGACCTGATAATATCCCTGCACAAGGATACGGGTGGATCGTATGGGTTGACAGGTATACGGTACATTATACACTACATACAACTGCTGCTGCGAGGATGACCAGAGTTCCCGTGATGATAATGGCTTGTGCTCCCTTGAGATCAGCGAGGTCATCGCGGTTCATTTGTGACGAGCCCTTTGCGTGTGTAATGAGCGCGGCCGGATAATGACGCTGCATTTGTTCGGCAACCGGTAGCGCACGCAGCTCTGCGAGCACCGGATGGACACGGTCAGGATCTTGCGGTACCCATGATCAACCTGTTACGTGCACACCTTATTCTCCTGTGCAGCGTCGAGTGGCAATTGCATCCAAAATCGCGTTGTTGTTGTCTTTGACGGTCGGGTCTGTACAGGAGCTGTTGTCAAGCAAGAAGAAGATGGAGGGAGTCTGGACGTCGACGTGGTGAGGATTGTGATTAAAACCGAAGTGGAGGAGGATGGTAAATTCCCCATTAGGCACCACGTCTATGCAGACCTGCCCATAGACTCAACACTGCACCATTGACTCAACACTGCACCATAGACTGGACACTGCACCATAGACTCAACACTGCACCATAGACTGGACACTGCACCATAGACTCAACATTGCACCATAGACTGGACACTGCACCATAGACTCAACATTGCACCATAGACTCAACACTGCACCATAGAATCAACACTGCCCATAGACTCAGCACTGCCCATAGACTCAACACTACCCATAGACTCAACACTGCACCATAGACTGGACACTGCACCATAGACTCAACACTGCACCATAGACTGGACACTGCACCATAGACTCAAAACTGCACCATAGACTGGACACTGCACCATAGACTCAACACTACACCATAGACTGGACACTGCACCATAGACTCAACATTGCACCATAGACTCAACACTGCACCATAGACTCAACACTGCCCATAGACTAACACTGCGCCATAGACTCAACACTGCACCATAGACTCAACACTGCCCATAGACTCAAAACTGCCCATAGACTAGCACTGCGCCATAGACTCAACACTGCACCATAGACTAACACTGCACCATAGACTCAATACTGCACCATAGACTCAACACTGCACCATAGACTCAACACTGCACCATAAACTCAACACTGCACCATAGACTCAGCACTGCACCATAGACTCAACACTGCACCATAAACTCAACACTGCCCATAGACTCAAAACTGCCCATAGACTAGCACTGCGCCATAGACTCAACACTGCACCATAGACTAACACTGCACCATAGACTCAATACTGCACCATAGACTCAACACTGCACCATAGACTCAACACTGCACCATAAACTCAACACTGCACCATAGACTCAACACTGCACCATAAACTCAACACTGCCCATAGACTCAAAACTGCCCATAGACTAGCACTGCGCCATAGACTCAACACTGCACCATAGACTAACACTGCACCATAGACTCAATACTGCACCATAGACTCAACACTGCACCATAGACTCAACACTGCACCATAAACTCAACACTGCACCATAGACTCAGCACTGCACCATAGACTCAACACTACACCATAGACTCAACATTGCACCATAGACTCAATACTGCACCATAGACTCAACACTGCACCATAGACTCAACACTGCACCATAAACTCAACACTGCACCATAGACTAACACTGCCCATAGACTGAACAATAAGGCACGTCCTACTTGATCGTTAAACCTTGTGGCTTGCTCTTTAGCATACCAGTGTGCAGTGCGTTTGTTCTCTTGACAGCTTTAGTCATCCAGCTGTGTCGGGTGGAGGAGGGCATACGACACACACTGGCATTGTAAATCGTAACATTGCTGGCGAGTGTCTACTCGTTAATTTCACCGTGTCTGTATTTTGTTACATTTTCAGCTCCGGATTTAAAGATCGTTAAGGTTGAAGGAGCCAGCGAGAGGCAGCCGGAGGAGACGGTCGATTCCCGTGGGCGTGCGGACGCTCCAGACCAGAACTTCATCGAGGTGGAGTTATCAGAGGGGGACACGGATGAAGGTGAGTCCTCCTTTCTTCAATCCTTTTCCCCATTCCGATGACGTCCGACAAGTTGCAGGATGGTGGGTGGGTGGTGTCTTGTTCGTCACCGAAAGCGCCTCGGCGTTAATTTTATTTAGAGACGTGTCGTAGTCGCGCCGTTGTTTTTATAAAGACGGAGGAATAAGACAATCGCGGTAATTACAAATATAGTCGTAGGCTATACTTCAATCTGTCTTGAAAACTCACCTCTTTAAAATAGCCTTTACCAGTCACCTAGTTCTGGCCGTTTACCCAGCTGGTTCTGAGTGGGTGGGTGAGTGAGTGAGTGGATGGATGAATGAGTGGATGAGTGAGCAGGTGAGCGAACGAATGGGTGGGTGAGTGAATGAAGAGGTGAGTGTGTGAAATGGACATCGCATTAGTTTTACAGTCCAATAGTTTAACTAATCATCCATCGGTTAACTGTACTGACGCCTTTTTCCATCCTTTACAAACGCACTCGCGTACGCAGCGGACGAAGCAAAAGCAGCGGGACTCCCGTGCGAGGAGTGCGGGAAGGGCAGGCGCTACGAAACTAGGACGGACAGAGCCAAACACAGCACGAGCAGCACCAACAACAACAACAACAGCAACGACAACAACAGCAGCAACAGTGAGACCCCATTAGCTTGCGCTCGGTGCGCGAAGGCGCAGCCAGCACGCCGGAAGACCGCGACCGCCGGCAGGAGGCACAGGTGCAAGCGGTGTGGCAGCCGGTTCCCGACGCGCTACGCCCTCAGCAAGCACTCGGTGACGCACACGGGCGAGTGGCCGCACGCCTGCTCTGAGTGCGGCAAGGGCTTCGCGCAGCGCTTGGACCTGGCCAAGCACTCGCTCAAGCACACGGGCGAGAGACCGCACGCCTGCTCCGAGTGCGGCAAGCGCTTCACCCGGCGCGAGTACCTGAGGGACCACCTCGCCTGGCACGCTGGCGACCTGCCGCACGCGTGCGACGGGTGCGGCCGGCGGTTCGCGCGCGCCTCACAGCTGAGCGCCCACGCCGCCTCGGCGGCGCACGCGGGAGAGAAGCCGCACGCCTGTGGCGAGTGCGGCGGGCGGTTCACGCGGCGGGCGCAGCTGAAGCTGCACACGGCCTCGGCGCACGCGGGCGAGAGGCCGCACGCTTGCGACGAGTGCGGGAGGCGGTTCGCGCGTCGCGAGCGCCTTAGGATGCACCGCGCGGCGCACGCGGGAAAGTGGGCGCACGCGTGCGCCGAGTGCGGGAAGGGCTTCGCGCAGCGGTGCCAGCTGAACGCGCACGCCGTGTTGCACACGGGCCGGAAGCCGCACGTGTGCGGGGAGTGTGGAAAGGGGTTCTCGCTGCCCTCGTACCTTAAGAGGCACTCCGTGACGCACTCGGCGGCAAGAGCCTCCAATCGCAGCTTCGTCGCTGTTGCCGCGAGCATCAGTGAATGCGTTCTCTATGTAGTTCCAAACTAAGGGGGGGGGGGGGATGGCGTTTGCATGTACATGTGTGTCTTTGTGTGGAGTGGCACTTTTGAACGAATGAAGAGGGTGTGGGAGCATGGCGGTGAGGTGTGGGAAGCTGTAAGTCCCAGGCTACTTGTGGGCTCGCCTCCCCATCAACAAGAGGCGAGAAATGGTGGTGGTTGCTTATGCCCCAACCGAAGATGAATACCAGTGGAGGGATGCAGACAAGGCCGATGTGTCGGACACATTCTACAACCTCCTGTTCCAGGTGCTAGCTAAAGTGGCCCCTCGGGTTAGAGTGATCAGAAGGCATGGGAAAGATCAACTCAAGAATAATTGTAGGAGGTTGTTAGACTTCTGTGCAATCCATGGGCTTGTAATTACCAACACCCTGTTCCGCCATTAGCACATCCACATAACATCAAGGATTCATGCTGGGTCCAAGCAAGAACATCTCCTGGACTATATAATTATGGACCAGCAGATGCGAGCCCATGTCCTTGACACCAGGACGTACCGTGGAGTTGATCTGCCCACCAACTATCGGCTTTTCATCTGCAAGATGTGCCTGCCATTCCTCCACTCTGGGAGTGGGTGTCCATCTAGGACCCCATTCAAACCCACAGCGGCCTGGTTTCAACCGAGGATAGTTGCTAGCAGAAATTCAAACATCGCTTGCAACTGGGGCTGGCATTGCCCCCCCCCCCATCTCCTTCTGATGCTGAGAGGAAATGGGTGAGGTTCAGGACTGTGGCTCATGTAGCTGCAATAGCTGCATTGGGTATGCAGTCCAGACCTTTTCAGAGACCTTGGCTGAAGGAGGTTTTCCGGCTGGTTGAGAGAAAATGAGAAGCCCACTAAACTAAACACAAAAAGTGGTGCTAAAAAAATGAGATTTCAATTTAATATTGTGTTTTGGTGTATGGTAGTGTATCGTAGTGCAGTGTATAGTATATTTTATATTGTGTATAGTGTAGTGTGTATTGTAGTGCATAGTCTGTATGTTGAACTTGTTTTGCATCATACGTGATAATCAGAGGTGGCGAGAGAACAACAACCCGAAGACAAAAAGCAGCTCTAAAGAAATTAGTTTGAAATCTCGTTCATTTTAAAGTGAATATGTAGCCGGTCCGCTCTGTCTCCTCTCCTCCCGTGGATCGTTACGAACCCCCTCGTTACGATCCACGAGGGGGACAGGTCAACTAAATTGACAACAACAAGAATAAAGTTCTGAGACGATGACGACACTCTCTGCGTTGTTTGTCTGTCCTCCTGGGGAAGTCGAGTGACTCCACAACGGATTGGGCACCGGAAGTTCGTGAAACAAACGGCAACGGCGCTTCGGAAACACGTTCTCTCGTGCGAGGAGCGTCCACGTGACCGCAACGTCACCAGACACAGCCCCTCCCACATCAGCCAGGACGTCACATTTGAATTGTGGGGGGGGGAGGTGCCCTGTACTCTGAATAGTCTACGCACTGATGTGTGTGCCCCATACTCTGAATAGTCTACGCACTGATTGGTATGCCCTATACTCTGAATAGTCTACGCACTGATTGGTATGCCCCGTACTCTGAATAGTCTACGCACTGATTGGTATGCCCCGTACTCTGAATAGTCTACGCACTGATGGGTGTGCCCCGTACTCTGAATAGTCTACGCACTGATGTGTGTGTCCCATAGTCTGAATAGTCTACGCACTGATGGGTGCGTGCCCCGTACTCTGAATAGTCTACGCACTGATTGGTGTGCCCCGTACTCTGAATAGTCTACGCACTGATGTGTGTGTGCCCCGTACTCTGAATAGTCTACGCACTGATGTGTGTGTGCCCTGTACTCTGAATAGTCTACGCACTGATGTGTGTGCCCCGTACTCTGAATAGTCTACGCACTGATGGGTGTGCCCCGTACTCTGAATAGTCTACGCACTGATGGGTGTGTGCCCCGTACTCTGAATAGTCTACGTACTGATGTGTGTGCCCCGTACTCTGAATAGTCTACGCACTGATGGGTGTGCCCCGTACTCTGAATAGTCTACGCACTGATGGATGTGCCCCGTACTCTGAATAGTCTACGCACTGATGGGTGTGCCCCGTACTCTGAATAGTCTACGCACTGATGGGTGTGCCCTGTACTCTGAATAGTCTACGCACTGATGGATGTGTGCCCCGTACTCTGAATAGTCTACGCACTGATGTGTGTGCCCCGTACTCTGAATAGTCTACGCACTAATGGGTGTGCCCCGTACTCTGAATAGTCTACGCACTGATGGCTGTGCCCCGTACTCTGAATAGGCTACGCACTGATGGATGTGTGCCCCGTACTCTGAATAGTCTACGCACTAATCTTGATTTGAAGCTTTCGTGACTGCAGCAATCCATACTTTGGTTCTTTCGGTAAAGTCACGTAGGTAGAAGAAAAAGTTATAAAAGAAAACACGACGTTTCGGTCGCAACACAAGTGTCCAGATGAGGATGCCATCCTGTTGGGCTGCATCTTGTCGCTTGCTGGGAGTTTAATGGGGCGGAGGTCGCCAGAGACTTGAAGAGACAAGAGGGACAGAGACACAGACACGGAGACACACAGAGACAGAGAGACACACACAGAGACACACACAGAGAGACGCAGAGAGAGACACACACAGACACACATACACAGACACAGATACAGAGAGACACACACAGAGATACACACACAGAGACAGAGAGACGCGGTGAGACACACAGAGAGAGACACACAGAGAGACACACAGACACAGAGATACACAGACACACAGAGAGACACAGACACACGGAGACAGAGAGACACACACAGAGACACACACAGAGACAGAGAGACGCGGTGAGACACACAGAGACAGAGAGACACACAGAGAGACACACAGACACAGAGATACACAGACACACAGAGAGAGACACACACACAGAGACACAGAGAGACACACACAGAGAGACGCGGTGAGTGTCCAACTCGCAGAGTCAACTCGAGGTGAGTTTTTCGAACCCGCACTAAGACCAGCGTGGTGAAGTATGGTCAAATACCCCCCCCCCCACTCCCCCAGTGCCTTGCACAGCGTGGTGAAGTATGGTCAAATACCCCCCCCCACTCCCCCAGTGCCTTGCACAGCGTGGTGAAGTATGGTCAAATACCCCCCCCCACTCCCCCAGTGCCTTGCACAGCGTGGTGAAGTATGGTCAAATACCCCCCCCCCATCCCCCAGTGCCTTGCACAGCGTGGTGAAGTATGGTCAAATACCCCCCCACTCCATCCCCCAGTGCCTTGCACAGCGTGGTGAAGTATGGTCAAATACCCCCCCCCCCATCCCCCAGTGCCTTGCACAGCGTGGTGAAGTATGGTCAAATACCCCCCCACTCCATCCCCCAGTGCCTTGCACAGCGTGGAGTTGGAGGCATTCATCCAGCAGTGGATTTGCAAACGGCACCGCTCTGTGTACACGGTCCAGATGTCTCGTGGCCACCAACAACTTAATTCTAGATTTGAAGCTTTCGTGACTGCAAGGATTCATATTCTTAGGTTTTTTCGGTAAAGTCACCATGTAGGTAAAACATCAAAATTAATAAAAACATCAAAATTAATTTTGATGTTTTACCTACGTGACTTTACCGATAAAACCTAAGAATATCAACAAATTAATAAAAACATCAAAATTAATTTTGATGTTTTACCTACGTGACTTTACCGAAAAAACCTAAGAATATCAACAAATTAAATAAAACCCACGACCATTGGTTTACCTCCCACCCCATTTGCGTGTTCATTTCCGTTTTAAATATAAACCTTTGATTTTAAAAACATTACTTTGGGTGGGGTGTTACAAGACATCGGGACCACTTCTGGAGATGTTAACTACCTCGCCTGGTACGCAGGAGGTCGTGGGTTCAGTGGCTAGGAGATGTTAACTACCTCGCCCGGTACGCAGGAGGTCGTGGGTTCAGTGGCTAGGAGATGTTAACTACCTCGCCCGGTACGCAGGAGGTCGTGGGTTCAGTGGCTAGGAGATGTTAACTACCTCGCCTGGTACACAGGAGGTCGTGGGTTCAGTGGCTAGGAGATGTGAACTATAGCAGAGAGTGTGGACTAATCTCCATCTGTTCCATCTCGCTCCCTCCTATAGCAGAGAGTGTGGACTAATCTCTATCTGTTCCATCTCACTCGGTAAAGTCACGTAGGTAAAAAATTAAATTAAAATTAATAAAATAAATAAAAAATAAAATAATAAAGATCACGACGTTTCGGAGGCAACACAAGTCTCCGTCATCAGGTGGGACCGTTACAGCCAGATTTGCTGCATCACTTGATTCACTTGATACAGCAAATCTGGCTGTGACGGTCCCACCTGATGACGGAGACTTGTGTTGCCTCCGAAATGTCTTGATTTATTATTATTTTAATTAATTTTAATTTCATTTTTTACCTACGTCGTGACTTTACCGAATAAACTAAGAGTATGAATCCTTGCAGTCACGAAAGCTTCAAATCTAGAAACTCTGTTAGTGGTGTGGCAGAGACGTGCAAGACTGCCCTGCATGACATCTTCACCGCTAGCTGTGGTGCTTTAGTTTCGTCTCTTTGGCCCCCCCTGCCCCCATCTCTTCCCAGATGGATTCACACGGCCACCCGCCCTTCGTCAAACAAGAAGAAAATCAAAACCCGGGGATGGGTCCAGACATCCCGGCCACACGTGCCCAGGATGTGCACAGTGGTGAGTGAGTGTGGCAACTCCCTCTCCTCCGGTGTTTTTTCAACGTTTTCACTTAATCTTCTTGGTTCTTTCGGTAAAGTGACGTAGAAGGGAAATAATAAAATTATAAAAATAAAACAAAATAAAATAATTCTCACGACGTTTCGGCCACAACGCAAGCAGCCGTCCTCAGGTGGAGAACAGGTCTGTCGAGAAGACAGAGTCTGAATGAATTATTTATTATTTTATTATTATTATTATTTTCCTTCTACGTGACTTTACCGAAAGAACCAAGAAGATGAATCCCTGCAGTCACGAAAGCTTTAAATCGAAGTTTTCACTTAACTTGACTCCTATACTCTTTGGTTCTTTCGGTAAAGTGACGTAGAAGGGAAATAATAAAATAATAAAAATATCAAACAAGCCAAATTAGGTCGTAAAAAAAAATGCAGTGCAATTAATTGTTCGGCAATTGGTAACTGGGCTGAAACAATCGGCTCATTGCATTTGAGGATCCTGGTTTATCTCTGGAGACCGAATCTGACATTGAAAATCCAGGACCTCAGTGGAGTTGGCTCTGTGTGCAGGAGCACACACACACACGGCAGTGCAGCGGTCAGCGCTACGCTGCGCTACGAACCCGGCGACCCGAGTTCGATTCCCGCTCACGGCCACCAACACCACCAGTGACGATTATCTGAACCGGTGCCTGGGCCTCCCCTAGGTCGATTCAGCCTCAAAAATAGTACTTGGTGCGGTGCATAGTAGTGTAGTAAACATCGCCACTGGGGAGACAAAGGCGGCCGGGCGTGGTGCTGGCCACCCACCCCCCTCGTGTGCCGTGCCGGCCTTCATAGCTGCTGCCAACAGCAGCACTTGCCCCTACAGTCTGTTACAGGCTACACGGGGGATCTTTGTCTTTGTGTGTTCATAGGCGCTGCTGTTGCTACTCGCTCACAGCACTTGCCCCTACAGTCTGTTACAGGCTACACGGGGGATCTTTGTCTTTGTGTGCAGACGCAGTCGTGAAGCAAGAAAATGATGACGGGAGTCTGGGCACCGAGACGCTGAGAATTGTGGTGAAAACTGAAATCGAGGATAATGGTAAACCCCTTCACATGGCCAGGTAGTGCCGTAACAAGAATCGAAGAGTCACGTAGAATGGAAATAATAAAATAATAAAAATAAAACATAATAAAATAATTCTCACGACGTTTCGGCCACAACGCAAGCAGCCGTCCTCAGGTGAAGAACAGGTCTGTCGAGAAGACAGAGTCTGAAATGTATTATGTTTTATTTGTATTATTTTATTATTTCCATTCTACGTGACTTTACCGAAAGAACCAAGAAGATGAATCCCTGCTGCAGTCACGAAAGCTTTAAATCGAAAAGAATCGAAGAGCAAGACTTCGAATAATATCAGGAGATGTCTCTATATTATTGGATTCCTCCAGTTCAAACAAATATTATCTGATAATATTGAATGTTTATTAAACGTCTCATCCGTCATGATGATGAGCCCATTTCGGTTGAGCTGCTGTCGTTTGTGATGGCGAGGTGGCCTCTGGAAGAAAGTTACCACATCCTAGATTTGAAGTTTCCGTGACTGCAAGGATACATACCCTTTGGTTCTTTCGGTAAAGTCACGTAGGTGAAAAATAAAAAATAAAAGTAAATTAAATCACGACGTTTCGATTGCAACACAAGCAATCATCATCCGGTGTGACAACCACAGCAATAATTTTTTGTTTGTTACTGAAGTGGGAATTATGCCGGAGTTAGGAAGGCTGTATAAGGCAGAGGGGGGGGGTAGAGGGGGTGGGCAAGTAGGCGGGGCTAGAAGTGAAAGGCTGCGATTCCTAGTGGTGTGGGTGGGGGGAGAGTGGGGGGAGAGTGGGGAGGGAGAGGGGGGGGAGAGTTGGGAGGAAGAGGGGGGGGAGAGTGGGGGGGGAGAGTGGGGGGGGGGGAGAGTGGGGGGGGAGAGTGGGAGGGGGGAGTGGGGGGAGAGTGGGGGGGGGAGAGTGGGAGGAATGGGGAGGGAGAGGGGGGGGAGAGTGGGGGGGGAGAGGTTGGGGGAGAGTGGGGGGGGAGAGGGGGGGGAGAGTGGGGGGGGAGTGGGGGGGGAGAGTGGGGGGGGGGGAGAGTGGGGGGGGAGAGGGTGGGGAGAGTGGGGGGGAGAGGGGGGGAGAGAGGGGGGGGAGAGTGGGGGGGGGAGAGTGGGGGGGGAGAGGGGGGGGGGAGAGGGGGGGGGAGAGGGGGGGGGAGAGTGGGTGGGGGGAGTGGGTGGGGGGAGTGGGTGGGGGAGAGTGGGGGGGGAGAGGGGGGGGGAGAGTGGGGGGGGAGAGTGGGGGGGGAGAGTGGGGGGGGAGAGGGGGGGAGAGTGGGGGGGGGAGAGTGGGGGGGGGGAGAGTGGGGGGGGGGAGAGTGGGGGGGGAGAGGGGGGGAGAGTGGGGGGGGGAGAGTGGGGGGGAGAGTGGGGGGGGGAGAGTTGGGGGGAGAGTGGGGGGGGGAGAGTGGGGGGGGAAAGTGGGGGGGGGAAAGTGGGGGGGGAGAGGGGTGGGGGAGAGTGGGGGGGGAGAGTGGGGGGGGGAGAGTGGGGTGGGGGAGAGTGGGGGGGGAGAGTGGGGGGGGAGAGTGGGAGGGGAGAGTGGGAGGGGAGAGTGGGGGGGGGGAGAGTGGGGGGGGAGTGGGGGGGGAGAGTGGGGGGGGGAGAGTGAGGGGGAGAGTGGGGGGGGAGAGTGGGGGGGGGGGGAGAGTGAGGGGGAGAGTGGGGGGGGGAGAGTGGGGGGGGAGAGTGGGGGGGGAGAGTGGGGGGGGGAGAGTGAGGGGGAGAGTGGGGGGGGGAGAGTGGGGGGGGGAGAGTGGGGGGGGAGAGTGGGGGGGGGGAGAGTGAGGGGGAGAGTGGGGGGGGGAGAGTGGGGGGGGAGAGTGGGGGGGGAGAGTGGGGGGGGGAGAGTGGGGGGGGGAGAGTGGGGGGAGAGTGGGGGGGGAGAGTGGGGGGGGGGGGAGAACAGGGAGTTAGTGAGTGTTGCGTGTACGCTAGGGAATGGGACGAGTGATACTGGTAGGAACCTCCTGGTTACACCAGCCCACAGGGGATTATTGTGTCCGTCCGTCCGTCGTACAGGGAGGGGCTGGGTGGGGAGGGAGGGGCTGGGTGGGGAGGGGAGGGTGGGGAGGGGCTGGGTGGAGAGGGTGGGGAGGGTTTGGGTGAGGAGGGTGGGGAGGGGCTGGATGAGAAGAGTGGGGAGGGTCTGGGTGGGGAGGGTGGGCAGGGTGGGGCTGGGTGGGGAGGGTGGGGAGGGGCTGGGTGGGGGGTGGGGCTGGGTGGGGAGGGGCTGGTCACCCCGTGGTGCCCTTATAAAACTCAACGTTTCACCTACTCACGCCGGCTTGTGCCCGCCCTCACAGTCGGGCATATTTGCGGAATACACCACGCCGCCGTTGACCCTGCAGGCCATTGACTGAGCAACCCAACGTTTCTACCAGCTCCCTCCGCAGGAATGTGTTTTACTTATATTTATTTAAAATTTTTATTAATTTTTCATCTACGTGACTTTACCGAAAGAACCAAATAGTAGAGAGCTACTACGTAGCAGCTCGGTAAAGTCACGTGGTTAGAAATAAAATAAACATTTGTTTTATTTTATTATAAAATAAAAATAAATAAACATTTATTTTATTTTATTTCTAACTACGAAATTCACGTGGTTAGAAATAAAATGAGAGTAAAATAAACATTTGTTTAATTTTATTGTAAAATAAAAATAAACATTTGTTTTATTTTATTTCCAGCTACGAAAGTCACGTGGTTAGAAATAAAATAAAATGAAAGTAAAATAAACATTTGTTTTATTTTATTATAAAATAAAAATAAACATGTATTTTATTTATAAACATTTATTTTATTTCTAACTACGAAAGTCACGTGGTTAGACATAAAATGAAAGTAAAATAAACATTTATTTTATTTTATTATAAAATTAAAATAAACATTTCTTAAATTTTTTCTACCTACGTGACTTTACCGAAAGAACCAAAGAGTATGGATTCCTGCAGTCACGATAGCTTCAAATCAAGATGAAAATAGTTTCGTTTTATTTGTAGATTTTTTTTTAAAGTGATTTTTTACCTTTTCCTATACTTTGCACTCCTATCGTGTGTGTGTCTGGTGTTGTTGTTGTTGTAACATCCTGACTCCATGCCCCTACCGGACATCTGTAAAAAATATAGCTTAATAGCTCATCGGATTCCTCCTCCAGCAGTCCACGTAGAGACTCCTGATTCCGATTCGACGTTCAATATTCAAACCCCCCCGACCGTCTTCGGACCGCTGGCGAATTTCTTCAATTGCAGTCTCGCGGCGCCTGAAGATTGTTAAAGTTGAAGGGACCGCCGGCGAGAGACGGGAGGAGACGGAGGAGGATGATTCCGACGGGCGCCGACCCTCCGTGGATGAGGCGCTCCTCAAGGTGGAGTTGCCAGAGGCGGACGCTTTCGCGCCTCCAGTAAGCGCGTTCGGTGGCGTGCGGCGGCGAAGGAGTTCAGCGCGCAGTGGGGATGGTGAGTTCTCTGTCGAAGGCGTGGGGGGGGAGGGCGGCGGGACTTCCAACGCACGCAGCGGTTCGGCTTTCGCGGCCGACGTTATCCGTAAACAAGTTCACTTATTTTTTTACACGCTTTTTATTTAACTCACTCTGTCTGTTGTCGTTGTCGTCGTTGTTGTATCCTCAAATCTTGTGAATCAAGTTTAACCCACTTCCCAATGTGCTATCGACTGCAAACTTGGTATACTTATACCACCATTGGAACCTCATTTGCCAGTAAAATATATGATAATTGTTTTTTTTTACCCTTCTATCTGGCAACAAAACTGACAACTTTTTTTACAATGAGTCATGTTTGCATAGACCACAATACCTGCAGTCATAATGCAAACAAAAATCATAACTCTGATAATGTATGCACTGTCCTTGAAGTTGATTGGTCCACACCCGAGACAGCTTTCCTTAGAGCCTAGTCTCACATGGTGTTAGACCAGATGACGCCAAAAGGCGCACAACTCAAAGACAATGCACCATCAAAGTATGAGAGCTCGGGTTAAGCATTTACACCATTGGAACCTCATTTGCCAGTAAAATATATGATAATAGTTGTTTTGTTTGCATTATGACTGCAGGTATTGTGGTCTATGCAAACATGACTCCTTGTAAAAAAATGTGTCAGTTTTGTTGCCTACTGCTGGATGAAGGCCTCTCCGAGCCTTCTATTACACTGGTCAACAAAAAAAAAAACATTTTTTTCTGGCCTGGACTTTTGCAGCCAAATCTGATCTCAGATTTGATCTATCACATCTCATTTTTATGCTATCGGCATACCCCATTTTCATTGATTTTACCCGAAATTAACTCTGTCACTTATGATTGCAAGTTGTTGCGAGTCAGTGACTGCTTTAGTGTTAAAATACGGTGCTGTATTTTTAGGATAGTGTGTTTATAATATCGTTTTATGTAGATATCCACATTTATTTAATATTTTTCTTCTGCAGTTTTTATTGAAAATGCAATATTTGATATCTAAAAAACCTGATGTGATAGACAAAAACTGCCAGATTTGGAATCAGCTCCCCAAAATTACCTTAAAACCGTTGGAATACCTTATGCCAGAAAAAGTGTGTTGACCAGTGTTATAATTCATCATCATCAGCAGCATCATCATCAGCCAGTGTGCGACTGCGGCCATCCAGAACAGGGACCGTACACAACGCGTAGCGACGCAATGCCCCCGATACACGAATACTAAGGAGAAGACATCGTCACAGCGATGACGACGATGACGACAATTCACTACTCAGCCACTGCTCCTGCTGATGCGATTGTCTGTAGCTTGACCACCTGAATGTGACAGTGTGGTCGTTGTTGCTCTGCATCTACATCAGCCGCACTTGAAGAAGAAGATTGAAACGTTTAATGTTAACGTTGTCTTTCATGCCAAATATTATTTACAAAAAATGCTGTCATTCATTTTATTTGTGTTTGAAATCGGCAATCGTTATTCACGAACTTGGCGAAACCGGGATTTTTTTCTATCCGCATATTGCAACTGGAACTCTACACGACAACTTGATTTGGCGCTTTCGTGACAGCAGGAATTACTCTTTGGTTCTTTCGGTAAAGTCAAGTAGAAAGAGAAAATAATAAATTAAATAATAGCATACGACGTTTCGTTTTCTCTTTCTCTCTGTGTGTCTCTGTGTTGTGTCTCTCTGCCCGGTTGTCTGTCTTTGTGTCTCCGTGTCTATGTTTTGTCTCTCTCTCAAATTTCACACTTAACTTCTAATTTATCAAATCCTTGATAAGAGCGTAATCTGCCAGGCCTTGCTTCAATTGTGTGTTGACCGACTCTCTGTGTTGCATTGCCTTACATTTCCAAATTTTACTAAATTGGTTTGATTTAGTGTAGTTTCTCTCTCTCTCTCTCTGGTGCCGTGGAGGGCAGTCGCACCTAGCGGCCGCTCCTGCCTTCCCAGGTGTGCGGACGGAGGCCCGGGCTCAGGTGAATCCTGAGCCTGGCCTAGGGAGAGGTAAACGGGGGGGAGAAATGCGGCGTCATTGTCGCGTTTCTCTCTGTACCTAGTCTTTATTATTATTTTTAACTATTACTGTTGTTGGCTTTATTTTTTGTTATTATTTTTCTACTTGTGTGCTGTTTGCCATGCGAGCGTCATGGCGCAGCACGACAGCACCGAGGCCCTCACGGACGAGCATGGCTTTCGGTGCTTCCCTCCGCCGGGGACGTCGCCCGATGACGTCGCTGGTGCGGTGGCGGCGCACGTCGGGCTGGCGGCCATCCGCGTGGTGCAGAGGGAAAACCGCGGCTACGTGATTTACGTGGCCAAAGTGGACGCGGCGGCGCGTGTCGTGGAGAGGGGGCTCAGCGTCGGGGGGGAGGGGGGGCTGCTCGTCCAGTGCACCCCTCTCTCCACGCCGGCTGTGAGAGTCACCATCTCCGGCGCGCCGCCGTACCTGACGAACGCGGAGCTGAGGGCGGACCTGCAGCGCTACGGTGTGGTGGTTTCGCCCATCGTGATGCTGGCTATAAGGACGAAGAACAAGGAAATGAAGCACGTCATGTCGGGCCAACGGCAGGTTTTCCTCGTGTTAAAGGGTGGGCGCACCGAGCTGGACGTGGCCATCAAGCGTACCGCTGGTGGCCGCGTCCATACGATATACCTGGCCACAGCTGTGCCGCGGTGCTACGGGTGTGGCAACGTCGGACACATAAGGAAAAACTGCTCCGCCAAGACCAAGGAGGGAGTGGTGAGGTCTGGCGGAGCAGCTACGGAGAGGGAAACGCTGGTGCCGCAACTGCAGCAGCCACGGCAGCCGCAGCAGCAGCAGCAGCGGGAGCATCCGCCGCCGCCGCCGCAGCAGGAGCAGCGGCAACAGCAGCAGCAGCAGCAGCAAGGTGGTGCCGACTCTGTGCCAGAGTGTGGAGAGTCGGCACCTGAGAAGAAAACCGACGACGACGACGTTGGAGGGTTCACCGTCGTTAGAGGTGCGCCGAAAAAGAGGAAGACGAGCAGGCGCGAGAACGCCCAGCTCAAGAGGGCGGCCACAGCTGGGGACACCGTCGAGCCAGCCAGCCGCCCTGTGGAGACTGGGGGGGAGGCCATGGATGTCACCGGTGACGCGCGCCCGGCGGGGGCGATTGAGCCGGGAGCGCTACTGCCGGACCCGGCCTCACCCACCCCGACCGCCACCGGCGCGATTGGTGTGCCGGGCGGTGCTGCGGCTCCGGGGAGCACCTCTTCGCCCATGCGGACGGGTGATAAGGAGGAGGTGACCACGGAACCAGAGGGGAGTGGGCTGCTCGGGTATGGGATCGAGCCCAGTGAGACCCTGGCTCCAGATGGGGCGGCGGAGGTGGAAGAGGAGACCTGCGCCGACGTGGAAATTAACGCTGACGCTGAGGCACCAGAGATGGGCACGGCGAGCAGCGCCGGCGACGTTGACCCCGAGCGGTGGCTGCAGGAGGCGCCGATGGGATGGGAACCGTCGAGTAAAGGGGCGTGCGAGCCCGAAAGACTCCATGAATACCTGAAATAGTCGTTTGGAAGGCGCAAGGTCCGGGTGCAGGACACGTTCCCCAACAGGGAGCGTTTCATGAAGACGGCCCGGCCGGTGGTCCAGGACCCCGCACAAATATAAGTTCAACCGCCAGGAGGTTTACCGGCTGAAAGCGATGATGGTAAAGGCGAAGAAACAACCGACCCCCCCCCCCCAAGGCGCTAACGGCGGCACCGTCATCACTACCACCGCCGTCGCCCGCCGGGGAGGAGGGCGTGGGGGGGGGAGGGGGTGACCTGTCAGGCAAAGGGGCGTCATGGCCCGGATTGACGAGGGCATCAGACGCTGGCGGTGTGGCGGTGGCGATGTTGTGCGGATTATGTGAGGCGGTGCTCCGAAGAGAGCACGCTTGGAGAAATGACCGTGGAGGGCGGTGCATGTAGTGAATGTGGTGCCGACGCTGCGAGTCGCGGAGCGGCGCGTGGGCCGGTGTTTGTTTATTGTTTGCCATGAAGGCTCATATATTGGAAAGACTCCGGCGCAATTGCCGCTGGAGGAATAAAATGATAAAAGTCAAAGTCAAGTCTCTCTCCCCTCGTTTTGTTGCTCTTGGTTTACTGCTGTTGCGCCAGGTCTCTCATTGACATGCTACTTTCTCAACCCCCTCATCCCTCTCTGCCTCCCTCTCTGTTTCAGACCTCGACACAGAGGCGTTGTTTCTCTGTGTGTGTCTCTCTCTGTGTGTCTCTGTGTTATCTCTCTCTGCTTACATGTCTGTCTGTGTGTCTCTGTTGTGTGTCTCTCTCTCTGTGTCTGTGTGTGTCTCTGTGTTGTGTCTAAGTTGTGTGTCTCTCTCTGTGTGTCTCTGTGTTATCTCTCTCTGCTTACATGTCTGTTTGTGTGTCTCTGTTGTGCGTCTCTCTCTGTGTGTCTGTGTGTGTCTCTCTCTGTGGGTCTCTGTGTTATCTCTCTCTGCTTACATGTCTGTCTGTGTGTCTCTGTTGTGTGTCTCTCTCTCTGTGTCTGTGTGTGTCTCTGTGTTGTGTTTATGTTGTGTCTCTCTCTGTGTGTCTCTGTGTTATCTCTCTCTGCTTGTGTCTCTGTCTGTGTGTCTCCTGTTCTGTGTTTCATCTCTCTCTTAAATTTAGCAATCTTTGAAGAACGTAATCAACAAGGTAGGGTGCTGACTGTTATGTTAGCCGACTATCTGTGTTGTATTGCATTATATTTCTAGGTTTACTAGGTTTTGTGTTTTCTTTCATTTGTACCTGATGATGATTGCTTGTGTTGCAATCGAAACGTCGTATGCAGTTATTTCATTTATTATTTTCTCTTTCTACGTGACTTTACCGAAAGAACCAAAGAGAAACTGCATCGAGATAAAGTGATGAGAGATAAAGTGATGAGAGAGAAAGTGATGAGAGATAAAGTGATGAGAAAATGATGAGAGATAAAGTGATAAGAGATCAAGTGACGAGAGATAAAGTTACGAGAGATAAAGTGATGAGAGAGAAAGTGATGAGAGATAAAGTGATGAGAGATAAAGTGATGAGAGATAAAGTGATGAAAGATAAAGTGATGAGAGATAAAGTGATGAGAGATAAAGTGACGAGAGATAAAGTGATGAGAGATAAAGTGATGAGAGATAAAGTGATGAAAGATAAAGTGATGAGAGATAAAGTGATGAGAGATAAAGTGGTGAGAGATAAAGTGAAGAGAGATAAAGTGGTGAGAGATAAAGTGACGAGAGATAAAGTGACGAGAGATAAAGTGATGAGAGATAAAGTGATGAGAGATAAAGTGATGAGAGATAAAAGTGATGAAAGATAAAGTGATGAGAGATAACGTGATGAGAGATAAAGCGATGAGAGATAAAGTGATGAGAGATAAAACTGATAATAGATAAAGTGATGAGAGATAAAGTGATGAGAGAGAAAGTGATGAGAGAGAAAATGATGAGAGATAAAGTGATGAGAGATAAAGTGGTGAGAGAGAAAATGATGAGAGATAAAGTGATGAGAGATAAGGTGATGAGAGATAAAGTGACGAGAGATAAAGCGACGAGAGATAAAGTGATGAGAGATAAAGTGACGTGAGATAAAGTGATGAGAGATAAAGTGATAAGAGATAAAGTGATGAGAGATAAAGTGATGAGAGATAAAGTGACGAGAGATAAAGTGATCAGAGAGAAAGTGATGAGAGATAAAGTGATGAGAGATGAAATGATGAGAGATAAAGTGATGAGAGATAAAGTGATAAGAGATAAAGTGACGAGAGATAAACTGATAAGAGATAACGTGATGAGAGATAAAGCGATGAGAGATAAAGTGATGAGAGATAAAGTGATGAGAGAGAAACTGATAATAGATAAAGTGATGAGAGATAAAGTGATGAGAGATAAAGTGATGACTCATTATCCGCGAAATTTGCTATTCACGGGCATCTCAGGAGCGTACCCATCGTGAATAAAACGATGGGCCACCGTCATCTGTTTCCCAAATCGCAGCCACAGATTTGAGGATTGTGGAAGGTGGAGGAGGTTCCGACAGGTCGGAGGAGACGGTCGATTCCCGCGGGCGTGCGGACGCTCCGGATCAGAACTTCATCGAGGTGGAGTTATCAGAGTGGGACACGGATGAAGGTGAGAGATGCCTTCTCGACCACGCGTCACGGAGAAATTGAAAAAAAGTTTCATTCTTCTTCTTGGTTCTTTCGGTAAAGTCACGTAGAAGGGAAGTAATGAAATAATAAAAATAAAACATAATAAAATAATTCTCACGACGTTGTCTCCCCGACAGACCTGGTTTTCACCTGAGGACGGCTGCTTGCGTTGTGGCCGAAACGTCGTGAGAATTATTTTATTATGTTTAATTTTTATTATTTCATTACTTCCCTTCTACGTGATGACTTTACCGAAAGAACCAAGAAGATGAATCCCTGCAGTCACGAAAGCTTTAAATCTAAATTTAAGTTTCATTCTGTTTTATGATCGCCAACCATATTCCAGTTGCCTTTTTTTGACCCACAAAAGGTACAAAGTATGATTTTTTTTACGGAGCAATTCTTTTCGCGCCGTACGTAGCCAACCGTACTAATCGGAGGTTCAGGTGAAGGACAACAAACTAAACAACGACAAGAAGCAGCAGTTCTAAAGAATGTTGGGAAGTATGCTAAACATTTCGAACAGACACACGTATTCAAAAATTTCCCTTTTATATATTGATAGATTAAAAGTAATTATAACTATGAAAAAATATACTCTTCGGTTCTTTCGGTAAAGTCACGTAGGTAAAAATAAAATAAAATAAATCACGACGTTTCGATTGCAACACAAGCAATCGTCATCAGGTGGGAAAACCACAGCAAAAAAAAAATATTTCCATTTTCCTTCGTTCTACTACAAAGTTTCAAGTATTCTTTTATAATCTTGATTTGAAGCTTTCGTCACTGCAGGAATCCATACTCTTTGGTTCTTTCGGTAAAGTCACGTCGAAAAATAATAATGGATCACAACGTTTCGATCGCCACACAAGCGATTGAAACGTCGTGACGAAAGCTTCAAATCAAAATTAGTTTTCAATTGAGTATAATGGTGTTCAGTAAAGTCGGATTTCCGTAAGCTGGGTCTTCCGCAACCCGGGGGCTTACTGTATATTCCTAGCCATTCATCTATTTGGAATGAAGCAAAATCGTAAGTTAAAAGAAATAGCAAAACATCAATACTCTTAGGTTTTTGTCGGTAAAGTCACGTAGGTAAAAATGAATAATTAAAATAATAGAAATAATCGTAGAAATAAAATAATAAATCACGACGTTTCAGGGGGCAACACAAGCTTCCTCCATCAGGTGTAAAAAAGGCAGAGCAAAATAACTGTAGTGGCAGTTATTTGTGATGGGGCATTATTATATAGGGTAAGAGGAGGGAGGAGGAGCCAAGGGGAATGGGTGCAGGATGGGGGGGGGGGGTGTGGATGGAGCCAGGAAGATGAAGGTGAAGCAGAGGTCGCAAACGGGTTTTGATTCTGTACCCGTACCCGGCCGCACCAGGGTCGCAAATGGGTGCGACCTCTGGGATGACCTCTGGGATGAAGCCATGTTGCAGGCGCGGGTGGGTTGATTCTAGGAACTTGAATTGTGAGAAGAGACAAGACGTTGGGAAATGAGTGACAAACGGTGACTCACCAGTGACTCACGGCCTACCCGTACCCGTACCCGGCCGCACCAGGGTCGCAAACGGGTAGCCGTACCCGTACCCGGCCGTACCCGTACCCTACCCGTACCCAGCCGGGTACGAGTAGGGTACGGGTATCGGGTACCTGATTGCGACCTCTGGGATGAAGCCACGTTGCAGGCGCGGGTGGGTTGATTCTAGGAACTTGAATTGTGAGAAGAAACAAGACGTTGGGAAATGAGTGACAAACGGTGACTCACCCAGTGACTCACGGCCTACCCGGCTACCTGTTCCCGGCCGCACCAGAGTCGCAAACGGGTAGCCGGGTATCGGGTAGGGTACGGGTATCGGGTACCCGGTTGCGACCTCTGAGGTGAAGGAACTAAAAGACGGCGTCACGGATGGTGGAGGGGGGACGCAGAGCGGGGGAGAGTGGCGGTTGAGGTGTAACATGTCATTAACATGTCATTAACATGTCATTAACATGGTTAATCACATCTTTCCAATGATTGCTCAAATTGAATCCATCTTCTCGGTTGAAGTTATGTCTGTGTTTGTATATCTGTGTATGGCTTCAATGTTGAACGGTGTCTGTTTCTTGGCCTACACATTGTTAATTTTTCTTGTATCAGTTTACCAAACTATGCATTCCCTTTTGTTTTTTTGGGGGGGGGGGCGGTGGTGGGGGACCACCTTGTAAACAGATGAAGCAAGTGAAACGGAACTCCTGTTGTGCGAGGAGTGCGGGAAGGTCAGAGGCTACGCAACGAAGGCGGAAAAAGCGCAACGCAGCAGCGACGACACCCCGCGAGTCTGCGTTCGGTGCGGGATCTCGCTCAAGGGCACCGCGCCGCGCGCGACAATTGCCACCGACGGGAGGAAGCCGCACGTATGCCGGGAGTGCGGGAAGGGGTTTGCAACGCTCCCAAACTTAAACAGACATTCTCGGAGGCACGCCGGTGAATGGCCGCCGGCGAACGCTTGCGACGAGTGCGGAAAGCGCTTCATGCGACCCTCCAACCTGGAGATACACGCGAGGACGCACACGGGCGAGAAGCCGTACGCGTGCGCCGAGTGCGGCAAGGCGTTCGCGCGCCGCGAGCACCTCAAGGGGCACTCGGCGACGCACACGGGCGACAGGCCGCACGCGTGCGACCAGTGCGGGAAGGGGTTCGCGCGTCGCGAGCACCTGAAGATGCACCGCATGACCCACACGGCCGAGAGGCCGCACGGGTGCGCCGAGTGCGGCAAGCGCTTCGCTCAGCGCTCCCAGCTGAAAGTGCACTCCGCCACGCACACGGGCGACAAGCCGCACGCGTGCCGGGAGTGCGGCAAGCGCTTCGTGCGGCCCTCCGGTTTGGAGGCGCACGCGAGGACGCACACGGGCGAGAAACCACACGCGTGCGGGGAATGCGGCAAGCGCTTCACGCAGCGCTCCCAGCTGAACGTGCACTCCGCGATACACACGGGCGACAAGCCGCACGCGTGCGAGGTGTGCGGCAAGTGCTTCATACGACCTTCCGACCTGGAGGTGCACACGAGGACGCACACGGGGGAGAAGCCGCACGCGTGCGCCGATTGCGGGAAGGCGTTCGCGCAGCGTTCGCAGCTCAACTTGCACTCTGCGACGCACACCGGCGACAAACCGCACGCGTGCGAGGAGTGCGGGAAGGGCTTCGTGCGGCGTTCCCATTTGGTTGCGCACACGAGGTCGCACACGGGCGAGAAGCCGCACGCGTGCGCGGAGTGCGGGAAGGGTTTTGCACATCGCTCTAATTTGGAGAAGCACACGAAAACGCACACCCGCAGGAAGTCGCACGCGTGCAGCGTGTGAGGGAAGGGCTTTGCACAGCGCTGTCGACTGACCTTGCGCTCCGAAAGGCACATCGGTCAGATGCCCTAAACGTTCGAGGAGCCCTAGAAGGCATTTTCACCGATGTGCGCTGTGAAGGTAATTTAGTCGAATGTGTACTTTGCATTACAAACCTTGGATCAGAGTTGCGTTTCTTTTGTGTCTCGAGCTCGACCGAGGGGCAGCGTGCAACCTCAAGACCAGAGGTCGCAAACGGGTTTTGATTCCTTACCCGTTTCCCATACCCGGCCGCACCAGGGTCGCAAACGGGTACCCGTACCCTACCCGATACCAGGCTACCCGTTCCCGGCCAGGTTTCGGGTAGGGTACGGGTATCGGGTACCCGATTGCGACCTCTGGGATGAAGCCATGTTGCAGGTGCGGGTGGGTTGATTCTAGGAACTTGAATTGTGAGAAAATGAGTGACAAACGATGACTCACCAGTGACTCACGGCCTACCCGTACCCGGCCGCACCAGGGTCGCTAACGGGTACCCGTACCTGGCCGGGTACGGGTAGCCGGGTATCGGGTAGGGTACGGGTATCGGGTACCCGGTTGCGACCTCTGCTTAAGACTCCTGGGCTCTGATGCAGTGAGAAACCTGCAGCCTCAGTAAGGGGGCCGTCCATAAATGACGTCACGCGATTTTGGCCGATTTTTGACCCCCCCCCCCTCTTCCCCCCTCGTCACACGGCGTCACAAAAAGTCAGACCTCCCTCATATATGACGGCACAAAGCTCTGCCCCCCCCCCCCCAAACCATATTTCCATTTTGAAAATAAAACATGCTTCAAATCGCTTTAAACTATTGTCGTTGTAGTGCGAATTTAATGTGGCGCTGCACTTTGATGTTGTGGGAGAAAACATTTATTAAAAATGAGGCGTTGGAAAGCTGAAATTTAGCATGAAATTCACTTGAAAATATTCAACGTCTAACTAAAACTACAGATGTTCAGAATATTATATTGAGATTCGGTTATAATTATAAAACACTAGCTTCACTACCCGGCTTCGCCCGAGACTTGGATTCTTGTTTTGGATGAATAGACGGCCTACGCGGAGGGTGGGGGGGGGGGTGCGTGACGTCAGCAGGCACACTGCGTGACGTCAGCAGGCACACTGCGTGACGTCATCAGGCACACTGCGTGACGTCAGCAGGCACACTGCGTGACGTCAGCAGGCACACCGCGTGACGCTGCCGCGTGCGTGTGACATCACAGATGTGACGTCACCGCTCACTTGCCGTGCAATATATTATATCCATTATTGCGCCCCCCCCCCTCCCCCCCCAAAATACAAAAGTCTATTTTTATACTTTTTGCATTCTGTACAGTCGGAAAGCTACCCACATCCCAAATTTCAAGTTTGTTGCATGTTGGGAAGTATGGTTAAACATTTCTAACACATTCACAAATTTCCCTTTTATATATATAGACTAGCTTTCCTACCCGGCTTCGCCCGGGACTTGGATTCACCACGCCCGGCCGCCTTTGTCACCCCAGTGGCGATGTTCAAATACCACACCAGTTACTCGTTTGAGGCTGAGTCGACCTAGGGGAGGCCCAGGACCGGTTCAAATAATTGTCAACCGGTGGTGGCCGTGAGCGGGAATCGAACTCAGATCGCCGGGTTCGTAGCGGACAGCAGCAGGCATCGTCAGGGTTGTGATCAAACCCACGACCTCCTGTAGACCAGGCGAGGTAGTTAACATCTCCTAGCCACCGTGATGATGAGAGAGAGACACGCAAACTCCAAATATACAGCAGCAGGCATCGTCAGCGTCGGGATCGAACCCACGACCTCCTGCGTACCAGGCGAGGTAGTCAACATCTCCTAGCCACCATGATGATGATGAGAGAGAGAGACACAAACTCCAAATCTACAGCAGCAGGCATCATCAGGGTCAGGATCTAACCCACGACCTCCTGTACACCAGGCGAGGTAGTCAACATCTCCTAGCCACCGTGATGATGATGATGAGAGAGAGAGACGCAAGCTCCAAATATACAGCAGCAGGCATCGTCAGGGTCAGGATCTAACCCACGACCTCCTGCACACCAGGCGAGGTAGTTAACATCTCCTAGCCACCGTGATGATGATGAGAGAGAGAGACGCAAACTCCAAATATACAGCAGCAGGCATCGTCAGGGTCAGGATCTAACCCACGACCTCCTGCACACCAGGCGAGGTAGTCAACATCTCCTAGCCACCGTGATGATGATGATGAGAGAGAGAGACGCAAACTCAAAATCTACAGCAGCAGGCATAGTCAGGGTCAGGATCGAACCCACGACCTCCTGCACACCAGGCGAGGTAGTTAACATCACGTTTTCGCCAACCCACATCTCTTCGATTCACCGCTCAAGCCACTGCACACACACTCCACGCGCCCGATGATGGTTGGGCTGTCTTCGTTTGGAAGGAGGGTTCGTCTTGTACGCAATCTAGCCGTAGAATGTATTTTGTCTTGTCGTTGCATATTGTCGCCTGCTGTGATGCGAATGGGGCGGATGAGGTCCCTGCAGAGACACAGATTTAGACAGATGCACAGACACAGAGACGTGGAGAAAGACAAACAGAGAGACGAGGAGAGAGACAAACGCGGAGTGAGTGCTTCACTTCAACCCACATTGACCAGCGTAGTGAAGTATGGTCAAACGACCCCCTCCACTAGGGCTGAACGATTTGGGGGAAATGTCTAATTGTGATTTTATTGACAGATAATTGCGATTTGATTTGCGATTACAATTTTTAAAAGTCAAACTTCAGTTCAATATTCACTGTGTAATAGATTGAATACATGTGATGGAGCATTACCACATGATACCATCAAAATATGAACTGCTCTATATATTCTAATGCAAGGATAAGAACTTAAAATATATGAATTGCCTCCAACATGTATTTATTAAAATGTTTTAATTGAAATAGAACAATCAAACATAGAACAATTGTTAAGTTAAATAAAGAAAGTTATAATATTTTAAAAATTAAACACTTCCAATAGTAAAGTAACAGGACTTTTTGAATCGCAAAAAATTGCAGCCTTTGCGATTGGCTAATCGCATTGTTTCAAATTGCGATTTGAAATCGATTAATCGTTCAGCCCTACCCTCCACCCCCACGGTGGCTAGGAGATGTTAACTACCTCGCCTGGTATGCAGGAAGTCGTGGGTTCGATCCCGACCCCAACGCCTGCCGCTGTAGATTTGGAGTTTGCGTCTCTCTCTCTCCCTGTGGAGATGTTAACTACCTCGCCTGGTATGCAGGAAGTCGTGGGTTCGATCCCGACCCCAACGCCTGCCGCTATAGATTTGGAGTTTGCGTCTCTCTCTTCCTATGGAGATGTTAACTACCTTGCCTGGTCTGCAGGAGGTCGTGGGTTCGATCCCGACCCCAACGCCTGCCGCTGTAGATTTGGAGTTTGCGGTGTCTCTCCCTGTGGAGATGTTAACTACCTCACCTGGTCTGCAGGAGGTCGTGGGTTCGATCCCGACCCCAACGCCTGCCGCTGTAGATTTGGAGTTTGCGGTGTCTCTCTGCAGCTGTAAGGATGACCCATCGGAGTTCTCGTGACGGGTTTATAGCTCCTTGACGAGATCGGCGAGGTTTTGCCGTTCGCTAATGGAATGAGAGGATTACAATTTTTCGTTTGTTTCCCCTTCAGATGGATCCACACTTCGAATTGCCCTTCATCAAACAAGAATACGAAGAACATCCAAATCCAGTAACAGGCTCTGACTTGACTGTGAAACGTGAATATGCAGATGATGGTGAGTGAGCATAGATATCAAATACTATTGTAATGCTATTTGATACTGGTAGGAACCACCTGGTTCCACCAGCCCACAGGGGATTATTGTGTCCGTCCGTCCGTCGTGCATCCAAAAATGGGTGGGGTGGGGCTGGGTGGAGAGGGGAGGGTGGGGAGGGGCTGGGTGGGGAGGGTGGGGCTGGGTGGGGCTGGGTGGGGCTGGGTGGGGAGGGAGGGGCTGGTCACCCCGTGGTGCCCTTATAAAACTCAACGTTTCACCTACTCACGCCGGCTTGTGCCCGCCCTCACAGTCGGGCATATTTACATGAATACACCACGCTGCCGTTGACCCTGCAGGCCATTGACCGAGCAACCCAACGTTCCTACCAGCTCCCTCCGCAGGACAATGTGTTGCATAGCAAACCACTACACTGCTATACACTACACTATACACTACACTTCTGGTTAACCATCGGAACAAAGACGGTCGCCGCATCACATGCTTTTAGATGCGCTTCTGCAGCCTGATCTGGTATGCTTTTCCGACATTTGGAAGCCGCTGGAAGCTATACCACTCTTAAATGATCTAGATTGAAAACTAATTTCTTGAGAACTGCTTGTTGTGTTATATTTGTTGTCCTTCCCGCCTCATTTGGCTACGTACGGTGGTGCAAACGAAGTTCAACACACGTGCATACGGGTGGGTAGGGACGCACATGCAATCAAAAATGTAAATTTGCTCGTAAACGATAACGGTACCTTTGTTACCAGTAGTGATCAGCTGGCGGCGGTTGTTCATCACGCGACAAATTTATGAATTGGCCGTGTTGGGTGGAGGGAGGCTTTTACGACACACATTTTACTCACGCGGCGATCTGACTAAAAAAGAAACGAATTCATGAATCAACGCAGTATTTGGCGCGACTGTCCACTGTGTGTTAGGAATCCAAACTGTTTGAATATTATTCTGTTGTGGTTTTAACAGTTGAGTGTGAATGCGCGTATGTTTAGTAGTGGCGGTGTAGCGATTAGCGCACTGCCCTACGAACCCGGCGACCCGAGTTCGATTCCCGCTCACGGCCAACACCAGTGGCGATTACCTGAGCCAGTTTTGTGCTTCCCCCTAAGTCGACTAGGCCTCAAATCAGTATCTTGTGCATTGTGTCAACATTGCCTATCAGGCGACAAAGGCGGCAGGGTGTGGTGCTGGCCACCCACCGCACCTCGTGTGCCGTGCCGGCCTTCATAGGTGCTCGCTAACAGCACTTGCCCCAACAGTCTCTTGAGGTTACACGGGGGATCTTTATCTCTTGTGTAGGAGCAGTTGAGGTGCAAGGAGATGAAGCGGGTCCGGATGATGAGAGGTTGAGGAAAGCGGTGAAAACTGAATTTGAGAAACAAGGTAAGGGCTCATTCCTACACGAAGGTTTAGCGGATCGATGAGAAAAAGATTGTGCCAGAGATGCCTAAGAAACGTCGTGATTTATTTTATTTTATACCGACATGGCTCGAATATTGCAACTTGCTACTCTACGGGATGTCTGGCAAAAACATTACCAAGCTTGCAGCGTGTACAATCTTCTCTGGCACGTGCCGTGATGTGCACTGCAATGTCTGTCCCAGTGCTCACCAAGCTGCATTGCACTCATTGCAAACAAATATTGTCACCGCATCAACACGCCATCAGATGCGCTCCTGTGGCCGTCTAGAATGCTCTTCCGGTATTAGGCAACGAGATGAGTTCAACATGCATACAAATAGGTGAGATCACAATAGTTTGATGTTTACAACCAAAGAGGCAAACCAAGGCAATAAGCAAGGATTTTAAGCATTATGAGAAGAACTCTTGACCGCCCTCGTATTTTGACGCGTCGAACTGCCCATTCTCACCATCGCGCGTTTTCCAAATTACAGCCACAGATGTGTGGATTGTCAAATGTGAAGGAGGTAGCAAGAGGCCAGTGGAGATGGGCGATTCCCGCGGATGCGTGGATGCTCCAGACCAGAACTTCATCGAGGTGGAGTTGTCAGAGGAAGACACGGATGAAGGTGAGTCCTCCTTTCTTCAACCCTTTTCTCCATTCCGATGGCATCCGACAAGTTGCAGGATGGTGGGTGGGTGGTGTCTTGTTCGTCACCGAAAGCGCCTCGACGTTAATTTAATTTGGAGACGTGTCGTAGTCGCGCCGTTGTTTTTACAAAGACGGAGGAATAAGACAGAGGTCGCAACCGGGTACCCGATACCCGTACCCTACCCGATACCCGGCTACCCGTACCCGGCCGGGTACGGGTACCCGTTTGCGACCCTGGTGCGGCCGGCTACGGGTACGGGTAGGCCGTGAGTCACTGGTGAGTAACCGTTTGTCACTCATTTCGGGTAGGGTACGGGTAAGGAATCAAAACCCGTTTGCGACCTCTGGAATAAGACAATCGCAGTAATAACAAATATAGTCGTAGGCTATATGTCAGTCTGTCTTGAAAACTCACCTCTTTAGAATGGCCTTTACCAGTCACCTAGTTCTGGCCGTTTACCCAGCTGGTTCTGAGTGGGCGAGTGAGTGAGTGAGTGAGTGGATGGGTGAATGAGTGGATGAGTGAGCAGGTTAGCGAACACGTGTGAAGGTGAGTCCTCCTCAACCACTCCACTGCCTTCGATAAATCGCCTCTTCTCCGCTTCATGGAAAAATCGCGTTATGAAAAATAATTTTTGGTATAGGGGGTAAAACACAGTCTGCGATAACAGATGTGTAACGCAGGCCTGAACAAAGACGGAGGCGCGTGGGTAGCATCTAGAAGCATCCAGCAGCATCCCAACGCCTTGTGCGATGATGATGATGATGATGATGCTACGCCGAGGCAGCTGTATTATAACCACTTATTCCTACTCGTGCGACGTAGTTTTGTTCGCACGATCGCGTGAATATATCCAATTCGTTTTCGCGTTGTAAAAAATGAGTTCCCTATAATACATTCATCATCGCGTTATACCCAAGTCGCGTTATGAAAACAACACGCGGCATTATAGGAGCACAGATTTTGGCCGATGATTTTGGAACGGAGCAGAATCATTATTTAAGTAGCCCTTGACCATAAAAAATGCAAACGTGAAATGTTAACGGTGCTGTTTTCCGGGACCGATAGTTTTGCTTCTTCGCTCGCATCGGCTGATCCAACGCTTCGCTCCCCTCCTTCCTTTTTGTTCAAAACAGACGAAGCAAAAGACGCGGAACTCGCGTGCGAGGGGTGCGCCGGTGGCGGAGGCTTCCCGGACCTCCCCGGCGAGACGCAACGCGCCTGCGAGCGATGCGGGAAGACGCGTGGCGGCGCCGGCCGTCGCACGACGGTCGCCGCCGACGGCACGGAACGAGGGCGCCGCAATTCAAACGCGCGTTCCGGACCGTGCGCCGGCGCGCGGCCACACGTCTGCAGGCGTCGCGGGAAGGGCTTCGAGCAGAGTTCCCAGCCGAACGTGGGTGAGAGGCGGCACGCGTGCGGCGATTGCGGGAAGGCGTTCGTGCGTCGCGAGCACCTGCAGTTGCACCGCATGACGCACACGGGCGAGCGGCCTCACGCGTGCGCCGATTGCGGGAAGGGGTTCGCCCGGCCCTCCGACTTGGAGGCGCACGCGAGGACGCACACGGGGGAGAAGCCGCACGCGTGCGCGGAGTGCGGGAAGGGCTTCGCTCAGCGCTCCAACCTGGAGACGCACTCGCGCACGCACGCGGCCGAGAAGCCGCACGTTTGCGGCGAGTGCGGCCGGGGGTTCGCGCAGCGCTCCAACCTGGAGGCGCATTTGGCCTCGCACACGGGCGCCTGGCCCCTGACGTGCGCCAAGTGCGGCAAGGGCTTCGCCCGCCGCTCCGACCTGGAGAAGCACACGCGCAGGCACACTGGCGAGAAGCCGCACGTGTGCGAGTACTGCGGCAAGAGGTTCGCCCAGCACTCGAACCTACACACGCACCTGCGCACGCACACGGGCGAGCGGCCTCACGCGTGCGACGAGTGCGGGAAGGGCTTCGTGCGGCGTTCCCATTTGGTTGCCCACGCGAGGACGCACACGGGCGAGAAGCCGCACGCGTGCGCGGAGTGCGGCAAGACGTTCGCGACCCCCTACACGTTAAAGAAGCATTCCGCGGTACACGCGGGAGAATGGTCGCACGTGTGCGCGGAGTGCGGGAAGGGGTTCGCGCAACGTTCGGAGTTCACAAAGCACGCGAGGACGCACGCCGGCGAGAAGCCGTACGCGTGCGCCGAGTGCGGCAAGGCGTTCGCCCGGCGCGAGCACCTGAAGGGGCACTCGGCGACGCACACGGGCGACAGGCCGCACGCGTGCGACGAGTGCGGGAAGGGGTTCGCGCGTCGCGAGCACCTGAAGATGCACCGCATGACCCACACGGCCGAGAGGCCGCACGGGTGCGCCGAGTGCGGCAAGCGCTTCGCTCAGCGCTCCCAGCTGAAAGTGCACTCCGCCACGCACACGGGCGACAAGCCGCACGCGTGCCGGGAGTGCGGCAAGCGCTTCGTGCGGCCCTCCGACCTGGAGGCGCACGGCAGGACGCACACGGGCGAGAAACCGCACGCGTGTGCCGAGTGCGGCAGGGGCTTTGCGCAGCGCTCCCAGCTGAACGTGCACTCCGCGGTACACACCGGGGAGAAGCCGCACGTCTGCGGCGAGTGCGGGAAGCGCTTCGCCCACCGCAACAATTTGGCGAAGCACGCGCGGACGCACACGGGCGAGAGGCCGTACACGTCCGCAGAGTGCGGCAAGGGCTTTTTGCAACGCTCCCAATTGACCCTGCACTCCGAGTCGCACGTCGGGCAGATGACCTGAATGTTCGAGGAGTTCGAGGAGTTTGTGTACTTTTCGATGTAAAGCTTTCGTGACTGCAGGGATTCATCTTCTTGGTTCTTTCGGTAACGTCACGTAGAAGGAAAATAATAAAATAATAAAAACATAATAAAATAATTCTCACGACGTTTCGGCCACAACGCAAGCAGCCGTCTTCAAGTGGAGAACAGGTCTGTCGAGAAGGCAGAGAAAGAACCAAGAAGATGCGTTTGTGTATGCTGCAAAGATTTTTTTAATATATATGTACTAAAAGGACTCTTTCACTGTGTCTGTCTCCGTTGTCCTTTATTTGGGTTCTTACAACTTGTCCCACACGGCCCTCGCTCAGAGCCTCCCCGCTTGGCAGCTCGACAGCTGCCGTCGCTCCCGTAGCCTTTCCCCACTCCGATGCAGCTCTGCTGCAGGCTTCCTTGTGCAGTCTTTCAGCTGCTCTCGCTGCAGCTCCACCGTAAAAACTAAGTTTTTCACTATAAATCCTTTATATGCGTGGCGGCTAGAGTCCTCTCGTCCTCTGGCTTGAGATGGCTGCCACCTATGGGTCAGATGATTGTCTGCCAGTATTAAACAATTGGTAATTAAATATTTAATTTGTTTTCCCTAAACAGTGTAAAATTTTGGGAAAAAAATGTCACGAAAATTAATTGTCTCGCACAACGAGTCTGTGTGGAAAATGTCAGCTCGATTGGATCACGGGAAGTGGATTAAAAAACGAGCGAAAGATTTGCACGGTCCTAAGCAAGCAAGCGAACTTAATATAAAGGATTTAAAAATATATTCGCCTGTGGAGGACGCGGGGATCGATCCCGCGACCTTTGGCATGGGAAGCGAGGGCGCTACCAACTGCGCTACTCCACCACGGCCTGTGGAGGGGTTACGCTCTGGGCTCTTACACTCTGACGTTCAGCCAAAGCCATGAATGAGTTCTATTTGAATAAATGTAAAATACATTTTTTTTGCCTAAAAAGTGTAAAATTTTGGGAATTTTTTTTCACGAACATTAATTGTCTCGCACAACGAGTCTGTGTGGAAAATGTCAGCTCGATTGGATCACGGGAAGTGGGTTAAAAAACGACCGAAAGATTTGCACGGTCGTAAGCAAGCAAGCAAGCGAACTTAATATAAAGGATTTAAAAAACCCAACCTCATGAAATAAAAAAAACCTTGTGGATGAATGATATTGGTCGAGAATGCCCTACTTACAGTGTTAAACTGATAGGGGGGGTTGGCAGGTGTGGGAGGTGGATGTGGACGGACAAGTGACTTTGTGGTAACCTAAACAAGCAAAGGGGCCGTCCATAAATGACGTCACACGATTTTGGGCGATTTTTAAATCCTTTATATTAAGTTCACTTGCTTGCTTGCTTGCGCGCTTACGACCGTGCAAATCTTTCGGTCGTTTTTAACCCACTTCCCGTGATCCAATCGAGCTGACATTTTGCACACAGACTCGTTGTGCGTGACAATTTATATTCGTGAAAAAAAATTCCAAAATTTTCCACTTTTTAGGGAAAAAAAATTCATATTTTATTTAAAATACCAATGTGATAAAAATGAAACTCTTACTCAAGAAAAACAGAAATGAATAATCAAATAAAACCGATGCCACGCATATAAAGGATTTATAGTGAAAAACTTTGTTTTTACGGGTACATTTTTTGACCCCCCCCCCCTCGTCACACGGCGTCACAAAATGTCAGACCCCTCCCCTCAAATATGACGTCATAAAGCTTTGCCCCCACCCCAAAAAAAATTTTGCTTCAAAGCGCTTTAAACTATTGTCATTGTAGTGCGAATTTAATGGGGCGCTGTTGTAGGAGAAAACATTTATTAAAATTTATTAAAAAGTATTTAATTAAGTAGAACGTGTTGTCTATTTGGATCTTTCGGTAAAGTCACGTATAAAGATAAAATAATACATTTAATAATCGCATACGACGTTTCGATTGCAACACAAGCAATTATCATCAGGTATAAATGAAATAGCGACAAAAAATCTAACCATAAAAATATAGACAGACATATAAGCAGACAGATATCACCAAGATGCTGTCTGCTTATATGTCTATAGTTTTCTGGATAGATTTTTTTGTCGCTATTTCATTTATACCTGATGATGATTGCTTGTGTTGCAATCGAAACGTCGTATGCCAATATTGAATTCATTATTTTATTTTTCGATTTAAAGCTTCTTTCGTGACTGCAGGGATTCATCTTCTTGGTTCTTTCGGTAAAGTCACGTAGAAGGGAAATAAATATCGATTTAAAGCTTTCGTGACTGCAGGGATTCATCTTCTTGGTTCTTTCGGTAAAGTCACGTAGAAGGGAAGTAATAAAATAATAAAAATAATTTATTATATTATTTTATTGTGTTTTATTTTTATTATTTTATTACTTCCCTTCTACGTGACTTTATTATTTTATCTTTATACGTGAGTAATTCCTGCAGTCACGAAAGCTCCAAAATTAAGATCGTGTTGTCTATATTTATTTAAAGTTTCGCATTTTAATGTGACGTCACATTTCTCACCCCCCCCCCCCCCCCATTGTCACAAATGTCTGACCCCCCTCCCAGGTGCGTGACGTCATTTATGGGCGGCCCCAAAGCAGCTGACGGTGTCTGCTTCGGTGTCTTGTGCTGCATCTTGTCGCTTCGATGCGCCGTGCAGAAGGGGGGTGGGGGCTTACAGAGACACGAGGAGCAGAGACAAAGGGAGAGAGACACAGGGAGACATTGAGACAGAGAGAGACATCGAGAGAGAGACAGGGAGAGAGAGACAGGGGGAGAGAGACACAGGGAGACATTGAGACAGAGAGACATCGAGAGAGACAGGGGGAGAGAGACAGGGAGACGGAGAGAGGGACAGGTGGAGAGACATCGAGAGAGAGACCGGGAGACAGAGACAGGGAGAGAGAGACGTCGAGACATCGAGAGAGAGACATTGAGACAGGGGGAGACGTGGACAGAGAGAGAGACAAAGGGAGAGAGACATCGAGAGAGAGACAGGGAGAGAGACAGGGAGGGGGGTGACTAGATGAAGACACGGGGCTAGAGGGACAAACACAGACGTGGAAAGAGACACGGGGATAGAGAGACACAGACAGACAGACGTGGCTTAGACAGACACACAGAGACACACAACAAACGTGGCTTAGAGACAGAGACAGACACAGACAGACGGGTATAGAGAGACACGTGGTTTAGAGAGACACACACAGAGACACAGACAGACGTGGCTTAGACAGACAGAGACAGACACAGAGAGACAGACAAACGTGGCTTAGAGACAGAGACAGACAGACACAGACGTGGCTTAGAGAGACACACAGAGACACAACAGACGTGGCTTAGACAGACAGAGACAGACAGACAGACACAGACGTGGCTTAGACAGACAGACACAGACGTGACTTAGAGACAGACACAGACAGACGTGGATAGAGAGACACGTGGTTTAGAGAGACACAGACAGAGACACACACAGACAGACGTCGCTTAGAGAGACAGAGACACAGAGACACGTGGCTTAGAGAGACAGACAGACAGACGTGGCTAGAGACAGACAGACGGGGATAGAGAGACACACACAGAGACACATACAGACGTCGCATAGAGAGACACAGACAGACGTCGCATAGAGAGACACAGACACAGACAGAGACACGCACAGACAGACGTCGCTTAGAGAGACACAGACACAGACAGACGTCGCTTAGAGAGACAGACAGACGGGGATAGAGAGACACAGAGTCACACACAGAGACGCACACAGACGTGGCTTAGAGAGACACACACAGAGGCACAGACGTGGCTTAGAGAGACACACACAGAGACACACACAGACGTGGCTTAGAGAGACACACACAGAGACACAGACACACGTGGCTTAGAGAGACACAGACACGTGGCTTAGAGAGACACACACAGAGACACACACAGACGTGGCTTAGAGAGACACACACAGAGACACACACAGACGTGGCTTAGAGAGACACACACAGAGACACAGACACACGTGGCTTAGAGAGACACAGACACACGTGGCTTAGAGAGACACACACAGAGACACACACATACGTGGCTTAGAGAGACACACACAGAGACACACACAGACGTGGCTTAGAGAGACACACACAGAGACACAGACACACGTGGCTTAGAGAGACACACACAGAGACACAGACACACGTGGCTTAGAGAGACACACACAGAGACACACACAGACGTGGCTTAGAGAGACACACACAGAGACACACACAGACGTGGCTTAGAGAGACACACACAGAGACACACACAGACGTGGTTTAGAGAGACACACACAGAGACACACACAGACGTGGTTTAGAGAGACAGACACAGACACGTGGCTTAGAGAGACAGACAAACAGACGTGGCTAGAGACAGACAGACGGGAATAGAGAGACACACACAGACGTGGTTTAGAGAGACACACACAGAGACACACACAGACGTGGCTTAGAGAGACACACATAGAGACACGTGGCTTAGAGAGACAGACACAGAGACACAGACGTGGCTTAGAGAGACACACACAGACGTGGCTTAGAGAGACAGAGACACACGTGGTTTAGAGAGACACACAGAGAGACACACACAGACGTGGCTTAGAGACAGACACAGAGACACGTGGCTTAGAGAGACAGAGACAGACGTGGATTAGAGAGACAGACACAGAGAGACACGTGGCTTAGACAGACACAGAGAGACACACACAGAGACACAGACGTGGCTTAGAGAGACACACACAGAGACACGTGGCTTAGAGAGACACAGAGAGACAGACACAGAGAGACACGTGGCTTAGAGAGACAGAGACAGACGTGGATTAGAGAGACACAGAGACACAGACGTTGATTAGAGAGACACAGAGACACAGACGTTGATTAGAGAGACACACAGAGAGACACGTGGCTTAGAGAGACAGACACACAGAGACACACACAGAGACACAGACGTGGCTTAGAGAGACACACACAGAGAGACACGTGGCTTAGAGAGACACACACAGAGACACAGACGTGGATTAGAGACAGACACGTGGCTTAGAGAGACAGAGACAGACGTGTCTTAGAGAGACAGACACACAGAGAGACACGTGGCTTAGAGAGACAGACACAGAGACACGTGGCTTAGACAGACACAGAGAGACAGACAGAGAGACACGTGGCTTAGAGAGACAGATACACACAGAGACACGTGGCTTAGAGAG